AAAATTGTAAAAAAGCAAACAATTATCGATTTTAGGTAACAAGATGTAGGTAATCGCTTGCTGTACAATAGGCGTCAATTGGTTACCGACCACTATTTTTTATATTGCTATTTAAGTAGATATTTTATATCATTGTTTGTATTTGTATTAAGGTAGATTGAATTCATTTTTACCGAAAACATTGCATTCATAAGTATTGATAATGTTTAATTATTATGATAATATGTATTATGATATATACCATATTATATTTTTGTTATTAACTTTTGAGTCGATACCATGCCTTAGATAGGTAAAAGTCATTCTACTTGTTTTGAAAATTTTATTGCATATCTTTACTAAAATTCTTTAATTTGCGTTAGGTTAGATCCCCACAAATAATGTTTTTGAATAAAAAAAAAAATAATGACCATCGTATTCATAGTTTAAGAATACGTAGGTACCTATATTATAGTATGATCAACCAAACCTCCTTTTGCTTTTATTATTCAATATCTAGCTAGCTTTTATTAGGAGTTCAATCTCCAGTAACAATCACAAACATTATATTATAATAAAAAATGGCAGGTACGCTTATAGAGGAAGGGGAAGGGGTCAAGAGTACCTTGTTTGAAGATCAACTAATAATAATATTTTTTGTTTAAAAATATAATTTTGTCCAAAATTGAAATTCAAATGTCTATGAAAAAAAACCATGCTTACTTATGTATCTTTGATATTTTTTTATTGATACCTATATGAACAATACTTATTATGAGGAACCTATTGTATTAAATTTGAAATCTTTAATTTTTAATTCAATACATAAATGCCATTAAATAAAATGCCGAAATTAGGCCCAGGCTGTGTGGAATTTTTATTCATGAACAGGGTTCGAAGTACCGGGCATAATCCATTAAAATCCGTTGGGTTTCAATGATTTGGGCCCAGTTATAAAACCCAGTAAAATACCCATGAAAAAAATCCAACAAACAAAAAAATTAATAATCTTTAAATTGGATATTATTTGTTTTTATTACTTCTTAGTAGTAGTTAGTACAATAAAAACAAAAACATGTAAGAAAAAAAATTAGATATTATAATTTCCTTATTATAATATTAGTTATAAACTCATAACAATAAATGAAAAAAACAAATAACATTTTATTCTGACAGTCAGAGTGACCAACCTTAGAATGAAAATGGGAATATAATAATATATTATTTTCAAATTTTTAAAACCTATCAAAACCCATTACACCCATTTAAACAAAATCAGGTCGGATTTCTTTTAAAAAACCCTGTTCATGGATGACGATTTATGGTCACTCGTCATCAAAAATTTGATGATTTTGATAGAACGACTCTACTACTTCAGGCGGAAGTACTACCAAAGTCGACGGAATCTAAATAAACAGGAATTAATTTGTTATACAAGTTAAATATAAATAAATCAATAAAAATTGCTTAGTGAGCTTTCTATTATGCACCATAGAGATCTCTTGCCTTTAGTCAGGGTGTCCACTGGTCAAGGATTTGTAAATTGACAATAGATACATAAGAAATAATGTGTTACATAAATTAAACAAAAATAAAACAAACTGTGTGTAACGTAGGTATATCATTAGCTTAACTTACCCACTAAACATTTTAATTCCAAAACAATGAAAAAAAAACTTTTTTTAGTATACACGAATAGTAGAATAAGAATAACTCTACAAAAGGCAAGTATTAATTGTTGAAAAATTAATTCAACGATAATATAAGAATAATTCTAAGAAAGGTCAAATAGTAATAGATCGCTAATTGTACTGTTGAGTTATTTTATTCAGTTGACTGTGTATAGGTAAATTTATTAAAGTTGCGTTGAATATTTTTCTTGAGTTTAACTATTGAAAAACCCCAAATTAATTAAAAAACATCATTATAACAAATAAACAGTTAAATAAAAACTATCGCATACTTTTGTAGACGACTGATGAGGGTTCTACAAAAAGGGCACCCTATATTCCCTTCTTTCATCCACCTTGTGATGCATTGCCTACAAAACATATGCTCGCAAGGTATTGTTTTAACATTGCTTACTCTTTTAATTAAAATAACGCATACCTAAACTCCTAAAAACATAAAGTATATATTACAAGTTGTTAAATAAAATATGATCAGGATCAGATAAATTGAAATGAACAAAGTAAGATATATTAAATTAAGGTACCTATATAGAATTTATATTTATTTTTCAGTCCTTGAGATATGCGTTATTTGCATGCAAAGAGTAAGCAATGTTAGAACAATGCCTTGCTAGCAAATGTTTTGTAAGCGATGTATCACACGGTGGATGGACGAAGGGAATATAGGGTGCTCTTTGTGTAGAACGCTCGTCAATACATAAATACCATTAAATAAAATGCCTAAATTAGGCACTGGCTGTGTGGAATTTTCATTCATGAACAGGGCTCGAAGTACTGGGCATAACCGATTAAAACCCACCGGGTTTTAATGGGTTGGGCCCAGTTATAAAACCCAGTAAAAATACCCAGTAAAAAAAATCCAACAAACAAAAAAATTAATAAACTTTAAATTGCATATTTGTTTTTATTACTTCTTAGTAGTAGTTAGTACAATAAAAAACAAAAACATGTAAGAAAAAACATTAGATATTATAATTTCATAACAATAAATGAAAAAACAATTAATATTTTACTCCAACAGTCAGAGTGACCAACCTTAGAATGAAAATGGGAATATAATAACATTATATTATTTTCAAATTTTTAAGACCCATTAAAACCCATTAAACCCATTTAAACCCAATTGGGTCGGGTTTCTTTTAAAAAATCCTGTTCATGGATGGTGATTTATGATCACTTGTCCCCAAAATGTTTGATGATTTTGATCCAACGACTTTACTACTTCAGGCGGAAGTACACCCAAAGTCGACGGAATCTAAATAAACATGAAATAATTTGTTATACAAGTTAAACATAAATAAATCAATGAAAATTGTTTAGTGAGCTTTCTATTATGCACCATAGAGATCTCTTGCCTTTACCTCATTAGTCAGGTTGACCACTGTGACGTAGGTATATCATTAGTTTAACTTACAAACTAAATATTTTAATACCAAAACAATGAAAAAAAAACCTAACCAGTTAACTAGAAGAGTACATGTATTTATGATAGTCATAAATCATACTTTTATCAACTAGAAACACTGACAATTTTTATGAATTTCTTGATGATTTTAAAATAAGTTCTATATAGTCTTCTAAAGTTTATAGTCGATCCACTCTGTTCAGTTGTTTTTTTATCAATGCAAAGTCACGATCACACGGAAAAAACGAGAGTCTTCTTTGTGGAAAAAACACCTGAACTTTTTTGAATTTTTTAATTTCAACTAGAGCCATTTTCATTCTGAGTGGTTTTTGTTTTGCCCAACATCATCATCAACAAAACTATTAATATGGTGAACCAAAAAAGAGCATACATCATTTGGTGTTTTTCTTGCTGTTGCCTCATGATAAACATAACAAAATAAATTATTCGTGTTTAAATTATGAATACCAAAAGTATTGACACATAATTTCATTATTTCAACCAGTACAATATTATTTTATTCACTGATAATCATTTTATTTTATAAGTAGGTATAGCAACGTTGGGCGCATGTAAACTCCGCCACAAGTACCTTTTTTTACTGTAAACTCCGCCAGAAAAAAAAAACATGTAAAATTGGGTTCATGTAAACTCCGCCACTGAAAAAAATCAGGTAAAATTGAGTTTATGTAAACTCCGCCAGTGAAGAAAATCAAATAGTAGTATAAAATTAATATGATATATTATTAAAAAAAAATTATAATATAATATCATATCATATCATATCAATATTTAAATCATAGTATAAAAAATCATAACAAATAATCCAAAATCATATTTTTCATAATAATAATTAATAAATTATTTAAATTATAAATTATTATAAATTATTAATAATTTAAATCGATATAACCTTGACAATATTTTATCAATTTTGACATATATCATCACAATAGATGTAGGTAAATGTATTTAATGTGAGAACTCACGTGGCAATGTGAGTACTGTCGCACTGACCAGGTAAAAAAAAAAACTGGCGGAGTTTACCATAGACCTATTATTACCTTTTTATCTTGACCGATATTCTGGCGGAGTTTACAATCGCCCGCAACGTTTTCACCATTATAATCTTTATTTACTGATAAACAATTGTACAAAATTAAATTTATAAATAGATTAATATTACATGTCATACAATAAAGTGATTTCACGAAGATTAGGTTTGATAATATTACTAAAGTATAATTTTGATGCAAAAAGGTTACATGTCCAGGACGAAATTTTAAATTATTTTTAACGGGGATCTATTTAATAGGACATGTGCCTTGTCTTCACAAAACCATGTATTTATCAATATTAAAATCGATTATGCAATAAAGTGATTTTTGTAAAATATTGGACATGTGCCCTTTTTGCATTTAGCAATTCATATACTCGCGGTGGCGGTGTCGCGAGATCATACTTTTTTCCTCGCTCGCAAATATATATACCACTGTATATATATCTACTCGCGGTGGCGGTGGCGGTGTCGCGAGATCATACTTTTTTCCTCACTCGCAAATGCTTTCTTATAAGGGGTGCCCAACGTGAATAAAAAAGTTTTCACTTCAAAAACTTTTTTTAGTATACATGAATAGTAGAATAAGAATAACTCAAAAAAAGGCAAGTATTTATTGTTGAAAAATTAATTCAACGATGATATAAGAATAATTCTACGAAATATAAAATAATAATAAATCGCTAATTGTACTGTTGAGTTATTTTATTCAGTTGACTGTGTATAAGTAAATGTATTAAAATTGTGTTGAATATTTTTCTTGAGTTTAACTATTGAAAAAACCCAAATTGATTAAAAAACATCATTATAACACAATGCTGGGGGCATACGTGGGGCATACCCAACGGGAATCTTCAATATTACACTTTTATTCAAATAATTCAGAACCCTTTATACAAAAGTTTGCTGTTTTTGTAGCACCCGGCATAAGCGGTGGTATACTGGTCGGGAAAGAGTTATTTCGTTTTTTCTTATTAAACATATCGTGGTCTAGCCAAGCACCGACTTCTTCATCCCATAGAACCACTGTCACCGCTTCCGTCCATTGCATAGAAATATTTTCATATTTCGATGCCTTGACTGTGTTATTCATCTCCCGGTAGAAATCACTAAATATCTTTGTTTTCCAATATAACCTCGTTTTTGTATTTAAGAGGTTTCCTTTCTTTAAAAGAGTTTGGTTTTAAAATAAAATGTCATTAAAATGAACTATGCAGGTTTATGACTTATGACTATATTATATATTTATATAGCAGTGTTTGGAAAGAACGTCGTTCATGAACGCACGTTCACGCGTTTCACGTTCATACACTATAGTGAACAATATGTGAACGTCACTCGTTTTTTGCAAATAGAACTTGAACATGAACGACGTTTATATTTTTAATGAATTTCATTGATTTTTAAGACGTTCAATTTATTTACCATTTAATAAATATTATATGTATAAAATATATTGATTAATTATATAATAATAATATTTTCATTTTTCCCATTATAAATCCTATACAATATTTGTTTGATTGGGAAATATATAAATGAAAATCACTAATTATCTTTGTATTCCTATATAATAATGCATTCAACTCCACTTGGACGACTGACCTGGTTTTCGTATTTAAGAGTTTTCCTGCAATCATACAATGACATAAGATATTGTACTCAACTTTTTTGACTACATCATAACCTAATAGGGCTAAGACAACAACTATTATCCCATAAAGTGAAAATTTATCTCACCCCCTTACCCATTTTATTATGATATACACGTAAAATATATTTACATATTTAATACATATTTTGCTTACCTTTGAGTTCAAATATTAATTTTTTTAATGTAAATTAGATAAAAAAAATGAAAATAAAAATAATAGATAACAAAGTTAAATCATTTTCCAACCAATGTGGGGAATATAAAAATCATATATTATATCGTTATCAGAAATATATACGTTGGTAATAACTTTTGCACATTTTACCATCATTACATTATTATTTTATAAACCATTGCCAACCTTGACTGTCTTTCGTCAAAACACATTAGTATTAAATAATCCTTATATAGATACATTAAAAACAAAGATGTATCCACCATTGATCATTAACAGTAAATTACTTAGTGGTGAAAGTGTGGACAAAATTGACGCTTTGTTTGTACTTGTGGATTTGGCCTTAACGGGGATACCACAATAAAGAAATCGCGTCATGTATAATACCTCATGCATTTAAACGGACTTCATTATGCCAATGTTGTCGGTTTTCGCAAAGGCGGTGTGGAAATTTATACCCAACTACCTGTTGTATAAAGAAATTACGAGGATACTATAGATAATACTAGGGGAAGGTGGAGCTGAAAACTTTTGGTTTCAATTGTTCCGAATCAAATGTAGGTATGTCGTATGTGTATGATTATAATAATAATTTTTACATTTTCGAGGCATAATGGAGGACGCAACACGTCCATACTTTTATAGTCATAATGCCGCAGAAACCTAGAACTCATACCAATTTGCAGCATTCATAAATTAGAATTTTATATTTTTATGTATGATTTAGAGTTTTATTTTTTCTATAGTTTACCTACCTACAATAATTATACTATAAACTATTAATCTGCCAAAAATGAATGATTTTATAGTTTTTTATTTTACAGTATAAAATTATTGAGTTGAGCTATCAAAAATTAAATCGCTTTGTACATATTAGATAAAATTCTTATTTATTACCTAACTGTGAAAATTTTAATACTCTAAGAGTAATTTATTTATGAATGGTCTCTGTTCGCGAAAATCCTTTTACCTGACTAAATAACGATAACCACTTTGGAACAACCTTATCACCGTGATGATAACCTAATGAAGGAAGGGTTCACTTCTTTATTACACTACGACTACTACCTTGGTCTGGATTTCCGTTTCCCGACTATTTTTGTTCATATGCAGAATGCTAGAATCGAGCGAAGTTGGAGGTTGGAAGTCAAAACCAAGTAAGTAATGTTTACAAGCATGCATTTCCATATTTCATTCAACAATACAGTTGGATTTTAGTATTTTATCATTCTGTTTTATGGTATTTGAAACTATGTCTTCTCACGAAATAACCATAATATAATATTAAGAATTAAGATAAACAGCAAATAGGTACTCATAATCTATAGGTACCAATATATTGTAATATTTATTACCTATTTGATCACAGTGTTTACATGAATCCATCAATATGGTGTTACGTGTCAACTACTTCAGTTGTTGAAATGTAGGAAGTAATTGAAATGACTTTTGAAGGTGACTTATAATTTGTATTTATTGTACTCAAATAAAATAGTTATGCAATATTATTCTAAGTCCAGAATAATTAATTTAAGTAAAACGGTTATAAGCGAGTTGTGACTAAGTAATTTAGCTGGTGTCTGTTCGAGTTGAGGCTGGCTGCTCATCTGATGAACGCTTGTCCATCAGCTCTCCTCGATAGATCTCTGCCCCTTCCATTAGTTTTAGGACCAGGGTCCTGCGGTTAAGCCTAACGTGATTCACACGCTTGCACAATCCGGAAGTCGACATATATATATATATATTGTACATTTGTGGTGTTATTTAACATAACAGCACAAATCTAAACTATATTATTTTTAGAATTATTCATATACGTAGTCATATATCTATTGTCGTACGCCGCTCATGGTCACGCACTCGATATCACTATTATTGATATTATTACTATAATTGTGTACTCGAGCTGGAAGCATTCGAGTATAATATTTATATTTACGCGGCGCGTATATTATATGATTACGTACACATTATAATGTGTTTTAGACAAGCCATGTGGCAAGATAGTCACAGCTCGCTACAATGGGCTGAATAGAATTCAAGATGGCAGCCAAGTAATACACTGGTTAAAAACATTCAATCTCAAAACTGAGATTTTTTTTTTATTATGGTTACTGTTATTACTTATTTAATCCTACACACACCCGTTTTCATGTGAGTACATCAGGCAATGTAATTATCCTGAGCATGTAGCAATTTTACTCCGAGAACAACCATTTTTACGAGCATACTTCACACTCTTAAGTCTCAAGTGTCAATTATCCAAAGCCTTATCACATAATATGTCTTCATCATATGGATGAACTAGCTATGGGGTAAAACTATAAAAGTTTGTATGCCCACGCTGGGGCATTTAGACTTCTTGAAGTATTCTTATAAAAATGTCTGGCTTTGTCATAAACTAAGATCAGAGGGCCCAACTATTTCAGAACAATTATATTATCAGCAATATGTACATGAAAACAGATGCTTCTTGAAATAAAATTATCAGATGACCTTAGCAATAAATTAATAAAGATATTGCTTGTTATAGTTGCAAGTACATTTCAGTCATTAAATATTTAAATGTTATAGACTTATAATATTGTATTTTTTCAAAGTAAAATTTACATTATTTTAATATTTGTAATATTTTAACAGTATAATTGTAATTTTATGTATAATTTTAATGTAGGTATTTATGTATTAATGCACAGTTTACGTTTTTAAGTTAAAAAAATTGCATTTGATATCATTGATATGTAACTTCACTACAGCTGTTGTGTCATTACATATCATAAATAATTAAATGTTCATAACCAAAATGCGATATTACTTTTTAATATTGTACATTAAATGTACATATAATATTGTACCTCGTTTTTTCTGCAGGATGTGTTTTACTGATTATAAATACTAATAAATTTAACATAGATAATATTATTAGTATACGTCAGTATATGAATTTTATTCTGTTTAGTAAATAGTTTACTCTTGATTAAAGAACTTATTAATTATTATCATTATAAGTGGTGAAAGACCTTAATGGACTTTGTTAAAGGGATTTTATATTAAATAATTTTAAGGGATTCAAAATATAAATCCAGTACTTTTTTTATTAAAAAATGAGACCAAAAAAAATATTTTTAAATAATATATTTAAATTTAAATTTCGTTTGTTACACGCACGAAGACTAAGCAGGCTTTAAATAATATATTTAAATTTAAATTTCGTTTGTTACACGCACGAAGACTAAGCAGTATTTAGTGATTTCTACCAGGAGATGAATAACACAGTCAAGGCATCGATATATGAAAATATTTCTATGCAATGGAAGGAAGCAGTGACAGCGGTTCTATGGGGTAAAGAAGTCGGTGCTTGGCTAGACTACGATATGATTAATAGTAAAAAACGAAATTACTTTTTCCGACCAATGTATCACTGCTATGGACTGGGTGCTACGAAAAACACCAAACTTTTGTAAAAAGGGTACTGAATTATTTGAACAAAAGTGAAATATTGAAGACTCCCGTGGGCATACCAACCACCCTCAGGACAACCGACCAACAGTGGGATCAGCCCAACGCATAGCCCCACTGCAGTACATTGCAGTGATATCGTTAGAAAGCACTCGAAATAAATTAATCGCTTCCCAAATCGCTTCGAAATGGCTGTGCACGAACTACGTGTCATACTACAACTATACGAAAATGTATGAAAAAGTAAGTAAGATTTGATGACATAATCGAATGAAATAATTTATCGGGTAGTAAGGGGAAACTGTGTAGTGTAAATAATATTATTTTAATTTTTGTATAGTTGTAGTACGGTACGTAATTCGTGCACATCCATTACGAAGCCATTTGTGAAGCCATTTATTTCGAGTCTTTATTCCCAGTGCTTTCTAACGACATCACCATGATGTATTGCAGTGGGGCTATGCGTTAGGCTGATCCCACTGTTGGTTGGTTGTCTTGAGGGTCGTTGGTATGTCCACGGGAGTCTTCAATATTTCACTTTTATTCAAATAATTTAGTACTTTTTTTTACAAAAGTTTGGTGTTTTTCATAACACCCAGTCCATAGCGGTGAATTATTGGTCGGGAAAAAGTAATTTCATTTTTTATTATTAATCATATCGTAGTCTAGCCAAGCACCGACTTCTTCATCAAATAGAAATACTGTCACTGCTTCCAACCATTGCATAGAAATATTTACATATATCGATGACTTGACTGTGTTATTCATCTAACGGTAGAAATCACTTAATATATTTGCATTCCAT